TCATAAGTCAAATAAGAATGATATCTTTGGGAGAAAACCATCTGAGTGAAAACAGAAATGCTAAGGGCTTAGTACTCATGTTAGAAAAGCAGACGTCTCCTATTAGGGTTGATGTTTATACTTGTGATTATACCTGGTAGCCCCTCGTATATATCACACTAAAGCATGATTTCCATTAGTAATAAAATTTAGGATATATGCCCTGAGTAGACAAAGCTGGGAAACGCCTGTGGATTTTTGTTACAGTTTTCTTAACTACTATACATTACTCTGATCTACCCTGTGAGGACAGAACTCTCTCTTGGGAGGATAGTGAATTACTGAAGGAGCTCAGTTTTATCAGTTTGTTATAACTGCACAGAATATTTGGTATTGATTCAATAATAATGGCTGTATTGGGTCAATTTAAGTTTATCAAAATACAACATTAAAATAATAAAGAAGAGAAAGAAACATGGAAGAATATGTATAAGAATATATTCCTGAAGTATTGATTTATTAAACTGATTCACATATTTTCTTCAGATTAAAAGTTATTAAGTTACAAAATAAAGATCCAGTTATCTATTCTGAAAAAAATTACCCCCAAATGATGATTTATAACAACAATAATTTATTTTTCAGTTTTAATTTTTTAAAATATATTTTGAGAGAGAAAGAGAGTGAGTGGGGAAGGGACAGAGAGAGAGGGAGAGAGAGAATCCCAAGCTGAGTCCACACTGTCAGTACTGAGCTTGACCTGGGGCCTGAATTGTGAGATCATGACCTGAGCTGAAACCAAGAGTCAGAAGCCCAACCAACTGAGCCACTGAGGCACCCTAATAATAATTTTTTAATCTCTCTATTTGTGGGTGAGAAATTTGGGAAGATTTCAAACTGGGCATTGCTAGCCATGGTCTCTCAGGCAGTAGTAGTCCAGGGGTAGCTGGAGATGGAACAGAATAGGACTGGGATCAGTTAGTGATGGTTGGCATCTCTCTCCACAGAATGTCTGGGCTTCTCTGTGCAAGCTGATTTGAACTTTTTCAGAACATGGCAGTGTTAAGATAGTCCAATACTTACTCTGTGGCTCAGGACTCCAGTGCAAATCTTCCAACACAAAATGGTAAAGCTGTGTTGCCTGAGAAGTTATACAGGGGGGGCCTGGGTGGCTCAGTCAGTTGTCACAGCTTCATGAGTTTGAGTTTGAGTCCCGTGTCAGGCTTGATGCTGACAGTGTGGAGCCTGCTTGGGATTCTCTTGCTCCCCCTCTCTCTGCCCCTCCTGCACTAGCACTGTCTCTCTCTCAAAATAAACAAACAAACAAAGTCCTGTCAGACAGCATCATCAATTAAAAAAATAAAAAGTTGGGGAGCATGGGTGGCTCAGTCAGTTAAGTGTCGACTTCGGCTCAGGTCACGATCTTGTAGTTTGTGAGTTCGAGCCCCATGTGGGGCTCTGTGCAGACAGCTCAGAGCCTGGAGCCTGCTTCGGATTCTGTGTCAACCCCTCTCTCTGCCCCACCTTCTCAAGCTCTCTCTCTCTCTCTCTCAAAAATAAATAAACATTAAAAAAAAAGAGAAGTTATACAGGATCACTTCATATACTATTGCATTCTGTTGGTTATATGTGAATCACAGGCCCAGCCCAGATTTAAGAGAAGGGGAATTTGATTCTGCCTATTGATGGGGCAATGGCAAAATTACTCTGTAGAACAGCATGTGAGATGAGGGATAGTATTGTGGCAGTCTTTGGAAAACATAACTTTGCTACAGGGAAGGTAAACAGGGGTGCCTGGGGGGCTCAGTAGGTTGAGCATCCAACTCTTGGTTTCGCCTCAGGTCATGATCTCACAGTTTGGGGTTTAGAGACCCGAGTTGGGCTCCCTGCTGACAGGACTAGTCCTACCTGGGATTTTCTATCTCCCTCTGTCTCTCTGCCCCTCCCCAACTCTCTCTCAAAATCAATAGACGTACGCTATGCTTTCACTTATAGGAGGATTAGGAGAAACTTAATGGAGGATCATGGAGGAGGAGAAGGGGGAAAATAGTTGGGGAGAGGGAGGGAGGCAAACCATGAGAGATTCTTGAATACTGAGAACAAACTGAGGGCTGATGGGGGTGGGGGGAGGGGATGGGGGGTGATGGGCATGAAGGAGGGCACTTGTTGGGATGAGCACTGGGTGTTACATGGAAACCAACTTGACGATATACTATGAAAGAAAAAAAAGCATCTCATTTTATGTAAAAATACACGCTCCTGAAAAATTATGCTACACCTGGGTAATAAAAGAATCTATTTCATTAAAAAAAATCAATAAACGTAAAAAAAAAAGGCAACTCTTGTTTGTTCATGAGAGAGAGGGAGAGAGACTCTCTCATGACTCATCAGATTAAAAAGAAATTAGGCAAACCTATCAAGAGGGACAAACTAAACACCAAGCATGCAGGTGTGTAGTTATGCATAAAAATTCCAGTTATTATCAAATTGTTATCATTCATACAAATGAACAGTTGCAGGCCAAATGGTGTTGGTGTATAGAGTTCATTTCAGCCAGAGGAAGAGGATGATGTCAACTCGTCACCGCCCCCCCCCCCCCAAGAAATGAAAGTAAAATCGAGGTTTCGAGACCAGCGTGAACGCCGCAATTTTCTTGCTGACAATAAGTGCAAGTGCCACCTGGTGGTGAGACAGCCAAATGTGCCTTCTATCCTGTTGATAGTATTCACTGTGTTGTCATTATCGTACATACAGTGTTTAATGGAAGACAACAGTTCTAACATCCATCTGCAAGTGTATCTGTCCAAACAAGCAGCCAAAGCACAGACACAGGGAGGGAGGGGACATAATAAAAAGGGAGTAGAAAACACAGGGCATCCACTTTGGAGCATCCAGACAAATCAAATCACTCTCCTTTTTATTAATCTGTACCCCTCTTAATCCTCTGTCCTATTGGCCTTTATGCACCTTCAAATTAGGTATGAAAGGTATGGGAGAGAATAAACTAAAGAAGGAAAGGTTTGGGGTGGGTGGCTCAGTTGGTAGAGCATGCGACTCTTAGATCTCTGGGTGGTGAGTTTGAGCCTCATGTTGGATCTAGAGCTTACTTAAAAAAATAAAAAAAAAATAAAAAAGGAAAAGTTTGCTCTTACACACAAGAGGCAAAGGAGATAGTTTAGCCAAATGATGACTATAGTGATCAGCTTTAGAACTGTAGGCTCTTGGGGTGCCTTGGTGGCTCAGTCGCTTAAGCGTCTGACTTTGGCTCAGGTCATGATCTCGCGGTTTGTGGGTTTGTGAGTTCGAGCACCGTGGTGGGCTCTGTGCTGACAGCTCAGAGCCTGGAGCCTCCTTCAGATTTTGTGTCTCCCCCCTCTCTCTCTCTCTCTGTCCCTCCCATGCCCATGTCTCTCAATAGTAAATAAAAACATTTTAAAAATTAGAAAAAAAAAAAAAAAGAACTGTTGGCTCTTTCCTCCATGTTGTCCATTGTCTCAGATCCTCCTGGACCCACAGACACTTGAGAATTTACTACAGCAAAACCCTGGTGGCCTATTTAGAATGTAAGAATCATCAATGAGGTCAGATTGATGATGCATCTTTCTGGTTTAACAATCTTTGATGGGCACAAGCGGACTACAGTTACTACACTAGAACTGTATGATCCAAATAATAATGGCTACCAGTCTGATGCGTTCACTGAGCACCAGGCACTATGCTCATCACTTTACATCTCCTTTAATCCACATAACCCTGTATGATTTCATCCTGTTTTACAGATGAAGAAACTAAACTTTTTTTCCTCCAAATGGTTTATTAACTTTTTTTTTTTTTTGAGAGAGAGAGAGAGAGAATGAGCAGGGAAGAGGCAGAGAGAGAGAGGGAGACAGAGAATCCCAAGCAAGCTCCGCACTGACAGCATGGAGGGCGGTGCAGAGCTTGAACTCACCAAAGGTGAGATCATGACCTGAGTCAGAAGTCCCGGCCCACAGGTCAGAAGTCCGATGCTCAACCAAATGAGCCATCCCGGCGCCTCAAGAAGCTAAACCTTAAGAAAAGTTAGGTAACTTGCTTGACTGACCATATACTGCGATAGATGTTGGAGCCGGGATTCACCATAGAGCTTAAAAAGCCTGGGTTTCAGCGTTGCCGCATCTACCACTGGTTTCACGTAAAGATCTCTGAAATCTATTTCTGTTTTCAACCTCTTAAAATAAGTTTCAGAGCTGCACTCTCTGCACTGATGCAGCAGTGCTGGTCGCTCAAAACTTAGGAGGCTCTCCCCCTTAAATGCTGACAAGGAGAGTCATTTTTTCCATCTCCTCCGGGTATTGTCTCTTAGATCCCTCCCTGCTCCGGCCCCTGCCTAGCTCTGGAATGCGGAACCCCATTCCTCTGTGGCACACCTCCCGTCCCCAACCAGGCCTTCTTCCTTCTAGACCTCTCCGGCTGTATGCTAGAGGGGGCCCAACCACTTCCAGGATCCGGTCTTGGGAGGTAGCTTGCCCTGCTGGTGGGTTGGTTAAAACCAACCCCGCAACAAGAACTTCCCGCCGCCCAGAGTTCACAGCACTTAGGGTTGGGGTTACCAGAGGTAGCAAATAAAATTACGGGACCGAGTTACATTTGGGAATCGGTGTGTTTCTTAGAGTGAAAAACTAGTCGTTGTTTCCGTGAAATTCAGATTTAACTGGGCATCCTGTATTTTACCTGGCAACCGTAGGTAGGGAAGCAGGGGTAAGGCTGGAGATTCGGGGCATTGGAAGGAAGAGGCTTCTGGGTCTTTTGGGGGAATGAATGTGTGCTGCTGGCGGCCAGATCGGCTCGCGCGCGAACAGAGGGCCGCACGCTTCTAGTGGCACCCCGTCCAGGACTCAGGGATCAGTAAAGTTCGAGGCGACCTGAGATGTCCGGCTCGTGAACAACCAACCGCTAGTCCCACGCCACAGGCCCCGGAGCACAAGTGAGAGTCAGGCCGCCCGACTCCAAGATGGCGTCCGCGACGACTGCCAGCGGCGAAGATGGCGGCGCGGGATCGCGCTCGCGCTCCCGGCTCCCGGCTCCCCTCCCCCAGGCCGCTTGGGGGTTGGGAGCGCAACGCGCGTAGCCGTGCGCCGGCTGCCCTGCGACCTGGGTGGTGGTCCCGGCAGCCGCCTGGCCCGCGCCATGCGGCTCGTCGGCTGGTGGCAGCTCCTGCTGTGGGTGCTGGGGCCCCCTGCCTGCGGCCTGGAGGGTGAGTGCGGGCTGGGGGCGGCAGGCGGCCGCGAGTGAAGTGACCGGGCGCGGTGGTGGTCTATGCGGGTGACGCTCTTTCACCTGCTCGGGGGCCCGCTCCCGCGTCGTCGCGACCTTTTATGCTGGCGGTCTGGCCTCCGGGTCCGGGCTGGCGGGGAGCCCGTTCCGGCCACCGCAGCAGGCGTCAGTCAGGCGGGAGTGACCGTGTGTTAGCGCTTACTGAGGCATAGCCTTTATTATGAATGATAAAAATCATGAGAACTAGCCGCCATTTATGGTGCCCTTGCTAGGAGGCGAACTGTGTCTTGTCTCAGGTAGTCCTCGCACCTGCCCCAGGAGATAGGCTCCCAGAGTACCTCCGTGTTATGAGTGGAGATACGGCAGAGCTGGTCTTCCTGCCTGCACAATCCACGCTTTCTTTTGCACCCTGATGGATCGCTTTTTTTTTTTAATTAAAAGCATTTTTTAATGCTTATTTAGAGAGAGGGAGGGCAAGCAAAGGAGAGGGAGAGAGAGAATCTCAAGCAGGCTCTGTGCTGTCATTGCGGAGCCCTACCTGGGGCTAGATCTCACCAACCGCAACATCGTGACCTGAGCTGAGGTTAAGAGTGGGACACTTAACCGCCTGAGCCACCCAGGTGTCTCCTGATCACTTTTTTAAGAAGGCCGCTCTTGCTCAGGTGCCTTTGTGAAGGACAGATGAGAAAGATACAGGACACTCCCAGGGTAACCCACCGCCTGCCCTGACATGCTCTCAGGGCCATCTCAGGTGGGGAGGCAGCCACTTTGGAGGCATGGCCGGGGCCAGGAGTGGGGCCTACCCTCAGGGCCGCCTCACACCACTGCTTACTTCTTTTAAGGTCCAGATCCTTTGGCCTTGCCTGTATTTCGCTACAGGAGTAGGTAGGTCTTTCCTTTTCTGGGGTCCTGGAAGGCGGCAGGGTAGCTGGGTATCAGGCAGAAGACTGAATAGTAACACAGCTGTTTTTCATGAAAGTACTGGTTATGTGCCAAGTGCTATGCTTAGTGCTTTATTTTTTTCATCTTATTTAATCTTCAATTGCCGGGTGCTGTGCTTAGTGCTTTATGAGTATCATCTTATTTAATCTTCAAATGCCGGGTGCTGTGCTTAGTGCTTTATGAGTATCATCTTATTTAATCTTCAAATGCCGGGTGCTGTGCTGAGTGCTTTATGAGTATCATCTTATTTAATCTTCAAATGCTTATGAAGTAGTTGTTGCTGTGGTCCCCATTTTTCAGATGAGGAAACTGAGACTCGGCATCACTAAGTCTTTTGCCACAGTCTCCAAAATCCCTAAGTTAAAGAACCATGTTTCAAGCCCATGTCTGCCTACCTGATGGTCAAACCTCTATACTCCACCTCCCTGTCACTGCACTTAACCACCAGCTTCAGAGAGGGGACAGCATGTGCTGGATAGCTTTTGTTTGTTTTCCAGGTCATTCTCTAGCCTTCTCTACCCTGTGCTGTGCCTTGAGGGGCTGTCTTTTATGGCATAAAAACCGGCTCTCTTGCCTTCTGGCCTCCTGTGGGTTGGAATGAGGGGAAGGTGAGGTCAGGATATTGATTCTCTCAGCTCCCTCCCCCAGGGATTATCACTGGTTGGCTTTGTCCTTCCATGAGAAGTCATATCTTCTAGAAGGCTAATAAGCTCACTGTTCTGTGAGGTTCTGTGACTGTTTCTGAATTCTTAGGGTTTGTGGGTGGTAACTGGCTCCTTCTCTGGTCCTTCTGGCCCTGGAGTTCCTTACCCTTGCTTCCGGTTTCTTCACACCCAGCCCATACGTTGGTGGCCCCTTTACTGATCCCAGATTGCCCAAGTTGAGTGTGCTTTCTGCACAGGGGACTTAGTGTTAAAGTGTGGGAGCCCACCTGCCAGTCCGGGTCACGTGCATGCAGACCTGAGGATAACACTAGCCTTACGATGGGCCATTGGTCACCATGGCCAGGCCGTGAGTAGGGTGAGGACAGAGGGACTTTCACCAGCTGGGACCTTTTCAGGGTGGCTGAAAATCCAAGGCATTTTGGTCTGTAGTAGACACCACTGGCAGCTTTGCACCTAGAGGTAGCAGTGCTAGCCAGGTGTCAAAGCACAGGAACCAACTCCTGGCTTCAGCACGCCCGTGCCTGTCTTCACTAGGCAGCTAGCAGATTTTTCCTGAGCACCCATCTTATGTCATGTACTCTGCTGGACACTTGAGGTACCATGGTGAGCCAGACAGAGAAACAGGTCCGCTCTCCTGTATGATGGGGAAGGCAGGCATTAAATGACTATAAATAATTAAGTACATTTCAAGAGTGGAAAATGTTCAGTGCTCCAGGGAGAGTCCCAGGGCATTATTGGGTGGATGGGATGTAATGGGAGACCATTTAGTCTGAGGGTTGGGGAGGGTGAAGTTCACCTTAAAGAGGTGAAGTTTAGGGTAAGATCTGAAAGATGAGGGTCGCTTGGGTGGCTCAGTCAGTTAAGTATCCTCTTTTTTTTTTTTTTTTTTTTAGATGGACGTATCTTTTTTTTTTTTTAATGTTTGTTTATTTATTTCTGAGAGACAGAGAGAGACAGCATGAGCAGGGGAAGGTCAGAGAGAGGGAGATACAGAGTCTGAAGCAGGCTCCAGGCTCTGAGCTGTCAGCACAGAGCCCGACGTGGGGCTCGAACCCACGGACTGTGAGATCATGACCTGAGCTGAAGTCAGATGCCCAACCGACTGAGCCACCCAGGCGCCCCAACTATCCTCCTCTTGATTTCAGCTCAGGTCATGATCTCACAGTTTTGTGGGTTCGAAGCCCACCTCAGGCTCTGGGAGCCTGCTTGGGATTCTCCCTCTCTCTCTGCCCCTCCCTCACTTGCACTCTCTCTGTTTTTCTCAGAATAAATAATAAACTTAAAAAAAAAACAAAACAACAACTCTCAAAGATGAGTCAGATTAGCCAGAAGGAGAGTGAGTAGAGGGCTTTCCTGGCAGGGAAACAGCCCTTGGGACAAGTAGGTGGAGGAGATCGTGAATACGCAGGGACCAGAAATGCCTGGTGACACCTGTTGAGAGTGTGGACAGAGGCCAATTCATGTGTTGCCTGGGTATCACTGCTTTGGACTGTAGACTCATTCTCAGGGCTAGGGGAAGCCACTGAAAGGGTTTTTGTGACATGATCAGATTTGCCTTTAGATTTCAGTTCCTCTTACGTTGCCTGTGAGGAGCAGGGTCTGGAGAGAGAAGAGAGGGCCAACCGTGGAGCCCAATTGGGTGCTTACAGCAACTGTCCAGATAAGAAATGGCTGTGGGCCGGCCAGAGGGGTGTGAGTGAGGATGGGAGGACTCCAGAATGCAGTTAGCAGGGGGATTAATAGAATTTAGTTATGGTGCCTTTGCATCTCTTTGAATTGTAAACATCAGTCCTTGTCGTCGTCGTCATCATCATCATCATCATCATCCCCTCAGCCATTTATGCGGTGCTTACCGTGTGCCAGGGACTACATACATCTTTTCTCGTTTAATCTGCACAGTAGCCCTGTGAATTTCTCTATTTCATTGGTATTTTCTCCATTTTTAAATAAGCGCAGTATTTCCTATAGAAAGAATGGGTTGCTGGCCCTCGAACCCCTGGCTCTTTCTGGTCCTTTCCCATGTGGCTCCCTGTCTCAGAAACCATTGTGAAAAACCTGCGGCTGGTTCAGAGCGTTTTGAACAAAATCGGAAGGGTGTGAAGGATCTGACCTGGGGAGCACTGACATGGTGCCCCTACCCATGTTCTCCAAACATCTTCCTTTCTGTCAATAATGCAGTACTTTTCACCTTTGTGTGCTCAAACTGTAATCAGCTTGTTGAGGTTAAGAAGCAGTCTCTTTTAATGTTTTATTTATTTCTGAGAGAGAGAGAGAGATACAGCGACAGCAACAGTGTGAGCAGGGGAGAGAGGCAGAGAGACAGGGAGACACAGAATCTGAAGCAGGCTCCGGGCTCTGAGCTGTCAGCACAGCGCCCGACATGGGGCTCAAACCCACGAACCGTGAGATCATGACCTGAGCCGAAGTCAGACACTCAACTAACTGAGCCACCCAGGCGCCCCAAGAAGCAGTCTCTTTTAATTCTCTCTCCCCCTGTCTCTCTGCCCACCCCCAATAAAGAAATAAAAGAAGCAATCTGTTTTATTTTATTTATTTTTAATTTTTATTTATTTTTGAGAGAGAGAGGGCCCAAGCAGGGGAGGGGCAGAGAGAGAAGGAGACAGAGGATCTGAAGCGAGCTCTGTGCTGACACCAGAAAGCCCCATGTGGGGCTCAACTCAAGAACTGTGAGATCATGACCTGAGCCAAAGCCAGGCGCTCAACCGACTGAGCCACCCAGGCGCCCCCGTGTGCCACTATTTTTGTGTACTCTCCTCAGTTCTCCGTGAATCGTGAGGTTTTCCAGGCTAGCTGGCGGGAACAGGTCCTTTTCTCAACTCCTTGTGAGCGTTGGGTACTGTTACTTCTAACCGTTTAGAGTAGTTCTTTCCCCAGCTTTGGCAGCTTTCGTGCAAATGTTGACTGGTGTCCTTGGAGGGAGGGTCTCTCTGCAGTCTGGAATTCTCTCTCTGCTGCTTGCCCATCGCCACTATTCCGTCCCACAGACTCTTAACTTTCTTGGTCCCTGTGAACCCTTGGTACTGTATCCTCAACTTGAGTCTCCTGGACCGCCTGCGTCCCCCTCACCGAGCCATGGCCGGCACTGCCTCCAGTGGTAAGCTGGAGCATTTGTAGGGCTGTCCTCACTTCTCTTCCTGTTTCTCCCGGATCCCTGTCCTTCGTTGCCTGCTCTCTAGTCTCCTGAAACTCACAGTTGTAGCCCTTTTTTGGGTTGTTTGAGTAAGGAGGGTAAATGTGGTCCCTTTTACTCCAACTTATCCAGAAGCCGAATTCTCAGAGAATGTTTTAAAATTGGTAGATAAGTCTACAAATCTCTTGGGATATTCTTCGAGACCTTACACAAATGTGCATACTTTAGGAAGCTCCCAGACCCCTTCCCAACTTTGAAGCCAGTTGGTTATTCAGCCTGTGGGGACGTGCTGTTGTCATGGCAGAGCCCATCACATGGCTGGTGGTTTCCCAGCCACATGGTGAGCTTGTCTGAGTGCAGCTGGGCTCATTTGTTTCCCCTGGTTGGTGCCTGGCACAGAGTCTAATGGCTCTTGAGTTCATGGGAGCTGGAAGGCAGGAGTCCTTGTTACAGAAGTGAGTGGACATTGCTCAGAGGATGTAGAAGACTGCCCTAGACTTCCCTCACCTGAGCATTTTACCCACGCTCTCGCTAGTGGCTCCAAAGTGAGAGGAATGTCTCCCTTCCCCCTGCAGCTGTCCCTGCACCGAGGGGCCCACCTCCTGACACTCCTACAGGCAGTAGCCCAAGGGCAGCGGGCTCTGGCTGGGGAATCCACCTAATGCAGTGTTCTCAGGCTGTGTGGCACAGTAGCCCTGGGGGGTTGGGTCATGGGGGGAGGGGAGGGTAAGGCCCTATCTGGAGTAGCAGCCAGAACATTTCACTCCGTGACCTGGCTCTGCTGCTTCTTAGCTTGTGTGCTTTTGGGCGTTGCACTACCTCTCTGTGCCTCAGCTTGGTCACCTGTTAGGGGCCGATGGTGACCCTTGTGCTGCCCGTCTCACAGAACTTTTATAACACGTGCAAAGATGCTTTGCCATAGGAGAATCTTCTATCTAGGCATCGGTCTTTTGTCAGATATTCTCCTCAAACCAATGACATTGTTAGTGTTTGTGTTATATTTTCCTAACTGGATGTCTGCCCTGGAATGTTTTTGCTTATAATCCATTAGGCAAGTAGCAGGTTTTGCGTGAAGCTGTATATGTGTCCACCTTATATTTGGCGTTCATTAATCTACTACCTCCTGGTGACCTTCTTCATGATCTGGAATCTAGGGGGGTGGCCCTCTGATGGTTTCATGGCCAGGTGACTGTTTTTCTCTGTAGGGGAACGTTTCTTATTTGAGGAGAACTATAAGTCTTCGGGGGTATGTGCTCTGGAGTGATGTGAACGTGAACCTGCTGGCACATTTTAGTTGCAGAGGAAAGTGGTCACTTGCCTGCGAAGGAGCAGCCTGTGGCGGGCGAAGAGCAGCCATCTCGCGATCCGGTGCGCCAGGACAGGTCAGCCGGGGCCACGGGCGCAGGGCTGGGGCCTGACGCGGATGGCGACCACGTGCTGATGCTGTCCGTGATCCCTGGGGAGGTGGAGGACAAGCTGGGCCCCGAGCCGAGCGGCGGCACCTGCGGGGCCGGAGGGGACGAGGACTCGAGCTGCAGTCTCCGAGAGCACCTGTTCTCTCTGGACGGCGCCGGGACGAGCTTCCCGGACCGAGAAGAGGAGTACTACCCGGAGCCCGAAGTGGCCGACTCCGACCCGGCCCCGCCCGAGGACTCCAACAACACCGAGAGTCTGAAATCCCCCAAGGTGAACTGTGAGGAGAGAAACGTGACCGGATTGGAGAACTCCACTCTGAAAATTTTAAATATGTCACAGGTAAGGAAAAATGGTTTAGCCCTTTTCTCCTTTTCGGCACCTGGATTTTATGACGTCATAACTCGTATCAACTTTGAAACAGAGGGACACAGTCTTTAGCGTGTTGTAAGTGGGGCTGCATCAGTGAAAATTGACTTTGCTCTCTCTGATGTTTGTAGGGACAGGAGGAGTTATGACTGGTGTTGATTATGCTTTTTAGGTGGCTTAAGCCTACTCGCTTTGGGGTGTCCTCACCACCACCAAAGCCTCATGATGAAAATCTCAGTGCACAGATTGGCACTTGGCATCGGAATCCTGACAGTTTCCTTCCTCCCTGAGGTCTTTATTACAGGCAACTTAAAAATATCTGAACTATCAAATTGTGATTTAGCATTGTTTAGCCCAGTGATACCTCTGGGAGGCACATTCTAGTAATGAACAGTTTCTTTCCTCCAAAGAACATGACTCCAGTATTTTCTCCGGAGTGAGAGCTGAGACTCTTGTCCCCATCCCAGCCACGCATTTCCAGCTCGGTGCATAAAGGATGATTCCAAAGAGAACACTGGGATAACGACTGACTGACTGCTTCAGTGGGGTTGTTGAGCCAGACAGCAGCATGAGTTCAGGCTGCTTGCGGAAGAGAAGAAACCCTAGCTCCGCAAGGCGTGGCTGCTTATTTTAGATGGGGATGTGTGGTACATTGAACATCCATGGCCCCTCCCGAGTGGACTCACTGCCCCCCTCGGCACTCTGTGGGACTGTTTCTTGGGTGGCACACACGTGGCCAGATTGGCGCACTTTCAGCAGTGTGAGTGAGGGTGGCGGCAGAGATGGTGCACCCTTGAATTGAACTAGCCTTTGGCCAAATACATTGATCCCACTGCTTACTACAGACTTCGATCTGCTGAGATGATGGTTAAGATGACATTGCATTAATCGTGCCATTAGATTGTGTGAGAGGCACAGGTCAGAGCCCGGGACAGTGGCCCTGGAACTACTTAGTATTTGAATGATGAGTTATGAAAAATTCTAAAATTGCTCTCTAGTAGTCTCGAGAAAGCTTACAGGCAAGTGTATAATTTGTTATTTCATAATACTTTTCTGCTGATTCATGGATTCATATGGTTCAAGACCCAAAAGGTTCTTAAGGGGATGCCCCACAGTCTCCTTTGGGTCGCTGTCCCTCCGCCTCTCCTTGGAGGCAGCGATGTTTCCAGTTTTTCAGACATCCCTCCGGAGGAAGGTACATGCACATGGACTGCTGACTTTGACACTTGTTTCTTTTACCACAGGACCTTATGGATTTTCTAAACCCAAATGGTAGTGACTGCACCCTGGTCCTGTTTTACACCCCGTGGTGCCGATTTTCTGCCAGTTTGGCCCCTCATTTTAATTCTCTGCCCCGGGCATTTCCAGCTCTTAATTTTTTGGCACTGGATGCGTCTCAGCACAGCAGGTACATTCCTTCGGTAGAATTTATGTGTCATCCTTCTGGATGAGGGTCGTGGTTATTTGGAGGTCATCATTGGTTAAGTGAGACTTAAGTTAGATGCAGAGCAGGTAGGTGTGGGGTGGTGGGAAGGCTAGATGAGCTGGTGTGGTGAGGATTGTCAGAGTCCTCAGGGAGCTGATGCCTCCTTTTCGGGAGGCCCCTTAAGAGGAGGGACTGTTGTCTGCACGGTGGTATTTAAAGGTGGCTCCCTCTGATGGCAGGGGAGTGGCCAGAGGATTATTTAGGGTCTTGGTCAGACTGAATTAGCAAAATTAATGTCACAAGTGTGACCCTCCTGAGACTCAGCCCCAGTTGAGGTTTCCACCTGGTAGCCCGACTCAGAACCCTGTTCTGTGTCCGCTAAGGAGTTTTTTCTTCACTTTTATTGGTTTCTTTTCTTTCTTTCCCTCCCCCTTTCTTCTTTCCTCTTGTTTACATTGATTCTTGCATGCATGTTTCTTAGTGAACGGTCAGTAAATTGATGCAATGAGTTAATTTAGCCCTTTAAAATGAAATTTACTTTTGTTATATGTTATTCTGTGGGCTTTTGTCTTTTTTAGATGTTCAGTGAGGGACGTTATAAAGAACTATGTTCAGATGTTATGTATTTCCCCCAAGTGCCGTGACTGCGTGTGGGTTGTCCAGTGTACTCCTCTTCTTCGAAATAACATGCCCTTTAGCGTGTAGGTCACAGGAGACTCTGTGTGAATCAGTTTGGAAAGTCTGGAACATGGTCAAGTTGGTAAAAATGAAGTTGAGTAAAACTTGAGTAAAAATTTAAAAAAGTGTTTTTTTTAACATTTATTTTTGAGAGAGAGAGACAGAGAGAGATAGAAAGAGACAGAGAGAGACCGAGTGTGAGCAGGGGAAGGACAGAGAGAGTGGGAGACGCAGAATCCGAGGCAGGCTCCAGGCTCTGAGCTGTCAGCACAGAGCCCGATACAGGGCTTGAACTCAGGAACAGTAAGATCATGACCTGAGCCAAAGTCAGATGCCTAACCGAGTGAGCCACCCAGGCTCCCCTTGAGTAAAATTTTTGAGTGAAAATTTGCTCTCCCCTGAGCTTCAGTGAGGGTGACGTAACTGCCAGTGTTTCGCTCAATTGTTTAGGAAGAAAGACATTGCAGCAAATTAGTGATTCTCACAAGTGTTTGAGGGAAATATCTACATGGATATGTAGGGGGCAGATTGATGGGAAGGACGGTCTAGGTTAGTGTCAGACTTTGACTGGAACTTTCCCTGCCCCCAAGCTGGCAGGGCTGGCTCCCAGCAGCAGCTTAGTACTCTGGGGTTGGATCTCACCGCCCCCCACTCCTCATTCCCTGCAGGCTTTTATCATCTGCTTTGTTCCTTCATGCATCCTTCTCAGTGCCTGCTATGTTGCCTTAATCATGGAGAGTAGGGGGTGCTTGTTTTTGTTATATGGCCTGGGACATGTGTTTGCCTCATATGTTAATATTTAAGTTACAGCATGTTTACAAAAGAAGAAATCCTGAGTACGATCATTTTACAAACAGGGAAAAACTGAGGCTTCAAGAGGTTACATAGTCTGCCCCGAGTTCATACAGCTGGTTCAGTGGCAGAACGGAGGCTTCAACCCGAGTGTTTTGACTCCTGAGCTTATACACCACTACTCTGTATTACGTAAAGGTGAAACAATACCACTCCGGTCATATTCCATCCTGCCCCAATTGTGTACTTCCTGGTGTGTCTGCTAGATCACAGATTTCCTTGTGCAGACTTAGCAAACTATGGCTTACCATAAGTTGACTCTTGTATGAGGGAAAGAACTGGAGAGTTTGAAATTTCTTCTGTCAAGTAAATTGACACAGTGTGCTTCGTCCATGAATTAGAATTTTCTAGTCTGATCTCTTTTGGCAGTTAGCAATTTAAATAGTGGAATAAGTAGGAGCATCTGGCTGGCTCAGTCAGTAGAGCATGCACCTCTTGATCTTGGGGTTGTGAGTTGGAGCCCAATGTTGGATGTATGTAGAGTTTACTTAAAAAAAAAAAAAAATACTGGAAAAACACTTGGGTGGCTCAGTCGGTTGTGTCTGACTCTTGATTTTGGCCCAGGTCAGGATCTCACAGTTCATGGGATCAAGCCCCACATCTGGCTCTGTGCTGACAGTGTGGAACCTGCTTGGGATTCTCTCTCTCTTCTCTCTCCTCCTCTCTCGGCCCCTCCTCTGCTCGCTTGCTCTCTCATTCTCTCTGTCTCAAAATAAATAAACTTTAAAAAAGTAGTGGAATAAAAATAGTGTTGAGGGTAGTTCTTTATTGTAATAGAAAGCAACTCAGCAGAACAGGAATGCTCCCAACCTCAACCCATAAGGAGAAGGGTCAGAAATGGCTGAAGCATATAGTTTGACTATCAGAAACCTATAGGTCACAGGAAATTGATCCATTCTCATTTATTGCTAACCATTCTGATAAGGTAATTGTGTGAGAAAACCTGCTGTTAATTCAGGTTTCCCACTGACTTCTTTTCTCTCAGCCTTTCTACCAGGTTTGGCACTGTAGCTGTTCCTAACATCTTGTTATTTCAAGGAGCTAAACCGATGGCTAGATTTAATCATACAGACCGAACACTGGAAACACTGAAAGTCTTCATTTTTAACCAGACAGGTATGTAGAAAGAATATGCTGTAGAAAGGATTTTATTGCTGGGGGTGTATGCCTTCTATGGGTTCCTATCTGCTCTTCTTAAGTGAAGGAGTCAAGATTGGCTTTCAGATGTAAACCTTCTTTTCTAATGAACTGCTCTGGTTCTGTTAAAAGTCTCTCCATCAGGGGCATCCAGGTGGCTCAGTTGATTAAGCCTCTGACTCCTGGTTTTGGCGTCGGTCATGATCTCACAATTCATGGGATCAAGTCACGCGTCAGACAGCACGGAGCCTGCTTGGGATTGTCTTGCTGCGCTCCCCTCCCTTCAGCCCTGCCCCCCCCACCCTGCCCAATCCCCGCTCATACATTCTCTTTCAAAATAAATAAAGAAAGAAAAAAAAGCCTCAATCAGTGTGGCAAGCTTAACATGAATAGGTAATTTTAAATGAGTACCGAAACCTTTTACAAAACAACTTTATTGATCTATAAATCACATACCATACAACTGTAGGTAACTTTTTACATAGATTTTTCCCTTAGGTATAATATTTACACAAAAATGTGCATCAATCATTGGTGTGGTGAGTGATGAATTTTCACAGAATGAATACCTTGGGTAACTGGGACTCAGATCTACAGAGAACATTACCAGCCTCCCTCAGCACTGCTGCTCCTGCCCGCAAGGATAACCGCCACCTTGACTCCTGACGCCAAGGACTAGTGTTAGCTGTTTCTTAACTTTATATTAATGGAGACATAGAATATGGATTCTTGGATTCTTTTTTTTTTTTAATATTTATTTATTTTTGAGAGAGAGCGAGTGAGCATGAATGGGGGAGGGGCAGAGAGAGAGGGAGACAGAGGATCTGAATCAGGCTCTGTGCACTGTCAGCGCAGAGCCCAATTTGGGGCTTGAACTCATGAACTGCGAGATACCGACCTGAGCCGAAGCTGGACGCTTAGCCGACTGAGCCACCCAGGTGCCCAGTATGGATTCTTTTGTGTCTGGTTTATTTCAGTCACCGTTAGGTTTGTGGGATTCATTGGCATCATTGCAGATGGTTGTATTTTCTTCTTTTGTGTTGCCGTGTGGTGTTCCATTTATTCATCCATTTGCAGATGTTATTTTAATTCTTTAATTATTTGCCAAAACATATGACCTTATTTTTCATTGTGTAGAAGTTTGAAAACTGTATAATGCAGAAATTTTCTTCTTTGGAAACGTTTGCTCCTCAGAAGCTTCAATGACTTAATTATGAGCATCCCACTTCTTCCTGAAGTAAATTCAGTGGAAATAAAAATAAGTTATATCGTGCCTTTCATATATATTAAGTTGCGTCTAATTATATCTAATACTAAAGAACAAAGAGGTCAGTTACCTCATAGGAGTATAAGGCTAGTTATCAGACAGTTATCTATTCAGGTCCTATAGCACCAGACCCCTGATTATCAATCAGATTGAAATGGCCAGAGGGAACCATTTTGCTCAATGCTCTAAGGAAACCTAGAACTCAAATGAGATCGAAGGGTCACAGCATCTTTGGTAATCACTGATCTCGGTGGGTAGTTCTAACAATTTTTTTCAGTAAATTATTTAAAAGCTTTTTGAATTTAGCATTCTTGAACCCGTGGGAACATTCTGTAGGCCCCTGAGGGGAGCTTTACCAGTTACTTGTCGAATTTTGGTCTCAAAAAAGAAAATATAACCCTTACAATGCACTAAGACCCTTCTGAAGAGTTCACAGTAACTCGAGTGTTTAGGCTTTGAACTGCTGAATGGGTTCCTGCTTCTTTGATGTGGTGGGAGAAAGGCAAGTTACAGATTATACCAACAGGCTAAATGAAACCCATCCCAGATATACTAGTGGTCGTGTTTATTTTAAGACTGCATATCTTTTTGCATGCAATGCAAAATACTTCAGAAAGATTTGTGGCAAGTGTATTTTCTATCTGATTTGCAACAGCTGATTTCTCTTTCAGGTATAGAAGCCAAGAAAAATGTGGTGGTAACTCAAGCTGACCAAATAGGACCTCTTCCCAGCACTTTGATAAAAAGTGTGGACTGGCTGCTTGTATTTTCCTTATTCTTCTTAATCAGTTTTATTATGTATGCTACCATTCGAACTGAGAGCATTCGGTGGCTGATTCCAGGACAAGAGCAGGAACATGCGGAGTAGTGATGGACTAAAAGAGAAGTCGGAGTGAGGAATTTCAGAAATCAGTGCTGCACTTTCATACATTTTTCTCCCGTGAAGTGTACTCTTACAACTTCAGGCAGATTAAAAGAATCATGCATTTGTTGAACTGTTAAATGTGTTAAAAATTATAAATTGGTGTTTTAATTAATACTGCAATAAGCAGATGCAAAAATATTCAGTAGAACTCAACGTTGTATTCAGTAATCCAATATTTTAAGAGAGTAATCTAGTTTGAAATGCAAAGCTGTGTTCAGGTGGAATGGTGGGTAGAATGACAGTATGCTTCAGAGAAGGAAGAAATAGGACTTTAACGTTATAGTTTTAGAAAACTCTTGATTCCTTTTATAAATGTCTACGAAGGTTGTTTTTCTGTTCATTTGCAATTTTGCTCTCAGTCTGTAAGCAGGAAAGTGTTGTGTTAGGAAGAATAACTAGAATTCATAAGTGTGACCTTCTGAGTAACTGATGGGAAAACAGGAGTCAACTACTTTGGCGTTTGAGATCGCTCATTTCACCGAAAGAATATGGAGTGCTTTAAGCTGTTTCTGTATAAGGCAGATGTTAGGAGAAAGTAAATGTTATCCTCAAACTAAAGCTTATTTATTATCAGTTCTAGGCTAAAGCGTAACTCAAATTTTAGTCACAATTCCCTAACCGGCATGCATTAATTGAACCTTAATATGTTCTTAGCACTGTGCTAGTTTTAATGAGAGCCAAAAGAAATATGTAACACCGTTCTTGCCCACAAGTTGATTCTGGTTTAGTTTAGACCACGCGTAGAAGAGAGAGCACATGTAATTTATTCCAACTTTTGGGGAAGCTCTTTCTAAAAGATCCCTTAAATTCAGATATAAGACATCTGACTACATAATGATAAATAACTTTTATGCTGTTTACAGTGTTTTAGAGTATTTCATTTTCTGATGCACCCTACAGTCTATGGAAGTGGAACTGTAGCTGAGTCACCTTTCAGAATGTTATGCTGGACGGGAGTTTATAACTTTAGATTGTGGGCAGCTCTGGCTGGAGTGGTCACTCACAGGAGCGGACACTGGTTCAAAACAGTACCATTATGATTTCCATTTTACAAATGAGCACTCTGAGGCATAGTGATTGAGTAACTTGCCCAGGTTACACACATAGTAAGTTGATGAAGCTGAGATTTGAACCTTTATGTGTATGTGTACATATACTTAAAAATTTAAGAAAAACTTAGTGATTCCATCTTTAATAGTAACTAACACTCAAGTATTACCGTGTGCATTCCAGGTACTATTTTAAGTGCTTTACATACCATTTCATTTATTGGTACATAGCTCTATGTACTGACTGACATTAGTATTAAATTTCCTTATTTTACATAAGGGCAATAAATGAGGCCTCAAATAACTTCTCTTGGTCAGGGAGCTTCCAGCGGTGGGACCCAGCTTCATGCTGACTGGAGGAGACTCTAGGTGGGCTGGGACCTTGCCCTGCCTCTATGCCATGGCCGGAAGGACCATCCTAATGCATTTCCCTCTGGTCTTTCCCCTTTGCTTCCTATAGTTGCATTTGCAAAATAGTCATCATGTAGCACTTTGGTCTTTTTATTTTGTTTTGCCTAACAAATGATAACTATTTCAGTGTTGCCAATAGTTTTCCTAACCATGATTACATTCTGTCTTTGAGTAGATTTGGCATTACTTACTTAACCTTTTTTTTTTTTTTAATGGTTGTGTATTGTCTCAATTCCTTAGGGGGACACTCCCAGACTGGAGATCATCAAAGATACAGTTGTTTTCATGTCTTTGAAATGTAATGGGGCCCTACTCTAGTCTGGGGTATGAGGAATGGCTCCTAGGATGACCAACAGGTCCATGGCTTTGCTTCTAATACTTAGCCAAGACAAGCTATCTGGGTTTTCTTTGGAGGGAAACTGGAGCAGGGCTGTTCCCTAGACGGGAGGTTCAAGTGTAGAGAGATCAGTTGGGAAGCACTGGTACTGAAGGAAAGGGAAGTAGAAGGCAGGAAGGAAGGTCTAAGAGCTGCTAAACCTCCCTAGCCAAACACAGTGTCTGTCCATCAGAACACAGTGCACTGGTACCCATGCCAGGGATGGGGAGGGCAGTGAGTCAACTACATGGAAGACAGCAAAGATCATGCTAGTCACCAGGGACAGAAGTCCCAACACTTCTGCCCACTATATAGTATCAGTTGCCAAGAAAAAAAAATAGAAGCAGTGGATGAACAGCATTTTCGCTCACAGAACAGACATAGCCAAGATCAGCTCCGGTAGTGTGCCTTGGTCCCTCATGGCCACTGGGTCCTCTGCAGCAGCTAAAGGCCCGAGTGCCCCTCTAGTGCTTATGCACAAGTCACCCCTACCTGTGGAGTGTGAAATACTGAAACGGGGTGGGAGGCATGCCCCAGGGATATTTGATTTAGTGCTTAATCTGAACAAAGGAGTACATACTGAGTCTGGAACAGGGAAGGATATTCTCACATAAGGTGATAAGCCCAGAACAGGCCATATGGGCTCGTTATGAGTATTGGTAAGGAAGTGTTCCTAGGCCCAAGGCCCATTCTTCGTAGTTGAGTAGAGATAAAGGACTGTAAGGAGGAGACTGCCTTTCCCAAGAGTGTCCACGATACAGGACGTGCTCAATCTTTGCTAAAGAACTTAAATCCTACTAATTGGAGACCTACACAGGAATGCAGAGTATTCACAGCTGCTGCCGGTAGACAGCACTTCCCCTGGGTCCTACTGGCATTACTGCTGCTGCTTTCTGTAACTAGACCCGAGATGCCAGTTTCCTCCGGTGGATTTAGGGAAGGAAAATGATGGGACTCTCTTGTTACCTCACACCTACCAGTTCATTCTGCAGTTCTCACTTAAAAAAATTTTGGACGTTTATTCATTTTTGAGAAATGGAGAGAGATAGAGCGTGAGTGGGGGAGGGGCGGGGAGGGGCAGAGAGAGAGAGAGAGAGAGAGAGAGAGCGAGAGAGAGAGTCAGAATCCTAAGCAACTCCAGGCTCTGAGCTGTCAGCACAGAGCTGGACATGGAGCTCCAATTCATGAACCTTGAGATCATGACCTGAGCTGAATTCGGAAGCTTAACCAACTGAGCCACTGAGGGACCCCCTGCAGTTCTCACTTCAGTAAGCAAGTTTGTAGAATATTTTTCATGGTTGTATACCCCTAATTAGGTACTGGAAATGCAACTTTTAATTCCACCCCCAGTCTCTGCCCACCTGAGGCATCAGGCAAAGGAAACTAGAGTGCCTTAGTCGAATATCTTGAGATCAGTGGTGTTTCATCAGGGTCTGAAGATTACTCCCTTGAGTTTTTGTCAAGCATATTTTAAGGCAAAAAGTCACCCCTCCCCCCCCCCCCACCTCCATATGGGAACTAAAACCAACTGCTAGCAACTCCTAAGTTGAACTCAATTGGACTCTCATATTTTTAAATCCTCTGCAGAACTGGTGATTAATTTTCTTAAAATAGTAAAAAAAGGTACAAGTGAATGTACTAAAAAACTGAAATACGCTTTAAAGGGTGAATTTTATGACGCATACCACTACATCTAAAAAAAAAAAAGGCAACTGGGGCGACTGGATGGATCAGCTGGGTGAGCGTCTGACTCTGGATTTGATCTCAGGTCATTACCGCAGTTTGTGAGTCTGAGTCCCGCATTGAGCTCCGCCAGTGCAGAAACCGCTTGGGATTCGCTCTTTCTTCGCCTGCCCCGCTCCCCCGTCTCAAAACAAATGAACTTAAAAGAAAAAGGCAACGAAAAAGGAATAATAATAAAATATTAGCAAATACACACATACATAAAAAAAATACCCCTTTTCGCCAAAAAAATTAAGTAAATCTGTCCACTACATCTCTGGAGTGCGTACCGTGAGCTACTGTTCAGAGAGCACTATGAACCAGGTTACAGATTGTCCTATCTGGGCCATCACAGAGGAGCCGGGGTGCCAAGGCCTCAGCAGCTAGGCAAAAAGACACAGCAGAGTCTACGTTCGCAGCCACGGCTCCCTGCCTTATAAGCCCCGCTCGGAACCACAGTGCTTCCCGGCCTTCCAGGCAGGACGGAGAGCGGCGCCCGAACACCCACCACCCACAGCTCATCGCCTCCCGTCCGCGCCCGCCACGTCCTGCCGCCGGCTCTTCGCCCCACCGTCCAAGAGGGAGCCCGGCACAGGCTGTCAGCGAGCGTGCGGCCAGCCGGTCGGACACCGAAGAGCCGAACCGGAGGTCACACCTGAGCGCCCAAAGCAGCGCAGCGCGCAAGCTCGCGGCCCAGTCCTCCGCACCGGAGGGAAGCGGGCCCCGTGCAGGCACCAAGCGGGACCTGCCGTACCCGCCCGTCGGCTGCCGGCGCCGTCTGCGGCCCCGAAGCTCCTGGGGCCTTCCGGGGCTGGCCGCGCGGGTTCCTGCGGGACTGCCTGACCCGCGGCTGAGGGCCTCCCGCACCGCCCCCGGCTCCCAGTCGACCCCGCAGACGCCTGAGCGCGGCGCGCAGGCAGCGCGCCGGGCAGCCCTCGACCGGCCGCTATGGCGGTGGCGCTGGGGGCGCGGGGGCCGCTGCGACTCCTGCTCGTGACGCTGCGGGGCCGGGCCCTAGGCTTCTCGGCCACGGTGAGTGCCGGCGCCCGCGGTGCGGGAGCAGCGCGAGGCTCCGCGGCGGTGTGGGAGGCGGGGGGACGGACCCGGGCCGGCCCCCAAGGCCTCGGTCCTTGGGGGGCCGCGTGCGGGCGCGGGGCACCTGGCGGGAGACGGGCGCCGCACCATCGTCTCCGCCTGGCTTACAGATCCCGTCGTCTACGAAACTGCTGTCCCCCCGAGCAAGAGTTTTGTTAAAGTATGAAAAGTAATTGTAAAACTATCTGATGCTTCAGGTCACTTGAAGTGACGAAAGACGCTGTGTCGCTAGATTGTGCGCTCGCTGAGAGCAGGGACCGGCTCCGGCAGGGCGCGCTCGCCGGAAACCCGCTGAGTTAACTTACTTGTTTGCGTGTGATGTTTTTGCAGGAATTATTAATAAATTATTTTTTTTCGTCGTGACAAGTCTGTTCCTCTTTCGTCTTCTGCGGGGCATTCCGTCACTTTTCTTGAGTTAGAAATTAATGTATCAGGATAAATTAACTTGATGGCAAGTTTTGACACGCAGCACCACCTAGTGGGAAAATGTTACATTAAACTTGATTTACTCTTCCCTTGCTTGTTAGAGCGCCTTGGCAGTTTGAAGGTGTTTAACGAGAGAAATTTAAGGAAGATGGAGGAAGATGAGCACTCTGTTTCGTGCCCATTAAGACGAGAACACAAATTGAGTGCTTACTGGCACCTAAGTGTGTGCTAAGGCTTACTTCTACCCGAAGTGCTGATGATTAAGTAAAATTATGGGGTTCCGAGGAATGAATAAACAGACATGATTTGTTGGCTTCCCCTGCCAGGCTCTATGCTGGGTGCCTTCACATTCGAGAACGCTTCCATTTAACTCTCAAAAAATGTCGGCAGGTAGACGTTGTAATGCCCTCACTGTAGACAGGAGGACGCTAGTATTCAGAGAAGCTAAGTGATTTGTTCAGCATCTCACAGCTGAAGGTAACAAAGCTAGGCCTGGAATCAAGTTTGTTCCCTCCAAATCCTATGTTTCTCCCTATGTTTCCTAGCAAGGAAGAGAAACGAGAAAATTAGTTTATTAGCAACCATTTTTCCTCTTCTTAGAATAAGTTACTTAAAAAATTTTTTTTTAGTGTTTATTTTTGAGAGCGAGAGAGCATGCGAGAGAGCATGCACTGGGGAGGGGCAGAAAAATAGGGAGACACAGAATCCTATGTTTCTCCCTGTCCTTCTCCCCATTCTCTTGCAGAAAAAAAAAAAATTAAGTCCACCACAAAGGGTTCTGCAGAAGGCGTGTCTCCAGGGGGACCGTCTGTGCTATAGACAAGGTGGCTCCACCTCACAGTCCTGGACACGTCCCTGTTCTTGCGCAGACACCTGTGCTGAGCGCAGAGTGCATACCACTGGCTTCACCGAGTGTGTGTGTGCATGGCAGAGAATGTGGACGAAAACCGCTCAGCACGTTCCCCTGCGTCAGTTGACTGCTGCGTTACCCACAGTATGGTTAATAGTTTTCTTTGCAGCTGCTCACTGTGGACAGAGAAAGTTTAATTTTTGTCTCTAATGATCTGAGTTGACAACATATTTAGGTGACCAATAAGAATTTTAGGTTATTTCCTGTAGTAGGTCACTGTGAAACTAATGCATAGATGTTTTGGTTCTTAAAAGTAAATGGATTTGATAATAAGTCTTTAAATGTTTTTATTTAATAAAGAGGTAAAAAATGTTTTTTCTCTTTTGTTAGTTGTGGGGACGGATAGCTGACCTAGCAAGGAAGAGAAACGAGAAAATTAGTTTATTAGCAACCATTTTTCCTCTTCTTAGAATAAGTTACTTAAAAAATTTTTTTTTAGTGTTTATTTTTGAGAGAGAGAGAGCGAGAGAGCATGTGAGAGAGCATGCACTGGGGAGGGGCAGAAAAATAGGGAGACACAGAATCCAAAGTAGGCTCCAGGCTCGGAGCTGTCAGCAGCACAGAGCCTGATGTGGAGCTTGAACTCATGATCTGTGAGATCATGACCTGGGCCAAAGTCAGATGCTTAACTGAGTGAGCCACCCAGGTGCCCCTAGAATAAGTTATCTTAAAGCAAGTTTATTTATTCTGCCATGTTAGTCACATCAGTGTCAGTGATAAAAGATTTTCAGGGTTTCTGAAGTGGGCTCAACTCAGCCCCCAGTTGCCGTTGATGAGAAGTCCTAATATAGTCTTATCTTTCTGGGTGACAGTGCCTCTCTCACCTGAGCCATGAGTAAGCCTTGCAGATAGGTAAGGTAGGAGGTATTGATTGACAGTTATGTTGGAATGAGAACTATGCTCCTCTGACTTGGCGCTAGAGTGTTTTTCTCTTCTTTCTCTGGCCATGATGCTTAGAGTTCTTTCAATTAAAAAACAAAGCATGGGAAGCGTGGGCCTGTTAACCAGCAGGACTCTGGGTTTGTGGATTTCATCACCAGGGTGAGTAGGACCAAGAAAGACACTGCTCTGGCCTGACTGGAGGGATTTGTTTTCCTGATGCCCTGAAAAAGCTCCCTCTACTGAGGCTAGGGCTTTTTACCTGTAATTCAGAGGATCTGTGGACTCCCAGAAGTTATTATCCAATATCCTGTGTTAAGTGTGCATTTGTTCCCCCCCCCCCCCCACTGGAGGTTAGTTTTTCATCACATCTGAAAGAGCATAGTGAACCTAGAGAGTGAAGACCCGTGTGAATAAGCAGTGAAGGCTACTACAGTGGCACTGGACCATCCAAAGAGCAGTGGACCCAGAACTTAGAGCCCTGAGTTCTAATTCTAGACCTGACCGTGGACTTGCAGGGTTTCCTTGTGTGGGTGTGCTTATTCAGGTTACCATGTCCTCGAATGCTGGCCATCCGTAATGGTCATTGGTAAGACGACCAGTGGTAATGGGTAATGGTTATATCTGTAATAAACCAGAGACACAGAATTGTGAAGTTTGAGGCACCAAGAAGGTGTGGTGAGACAACTTAACTATGGAGGCAGCTGATTTTGTATAGTTAGCCTTGTTTTTGTCTATTTTTTAAGAACAGAGGAACCAAAGATGGTTCCAAATTGTTGCCCTTAAGATTTGCTTTCCTAGGGCCGGGCGCGGGGCGCGGTGCACCAGCGGCTCACAGCCGAGCCTGGCATGGAGGTCCCAAGCGGCCCCGAGCCCACGCCGGGCTGCAGCGGCATGCGCCCTGGCGACGGCGGCGCCCACTCGTGGGCCCCGGAGGACGCCTGGATGGGCACCCACCCTAAGTATTTAGAAATGATGGAATTAGATATAGGAGATGCCAGCCAAGTTTACATAGCATTCTTGGTTTACCTCGACCTGATGGAGAGTAAAAGTTGGCATGAAGTCAGTTGTGTGGGCTTACCAGATCTGCAGCTCATCTGCCTTGTCGGTACTGAGATAGAAGGAGAAGGATTACAGACTGTGTTGCCTACACCCATCAGCGCGTCCCTCAGCCATAACAGGATAAGGGAGATCTTGAAGGCATCTCGAAAATTGCAAGGTGATCCAGATTTGGCAATGTCTTTTACTTTGGCCATAGTGGAGTCTGATTCCACAATAGTCTATTATAAACTTACTGATGGATTTATGCTGCCAGACCCTCAGAATATTTCCCTTCGAAGATGACACCTATACTTCCTGATGCTTACTTTGGGATTGGGTTTGAGATCCGTCAGCCTGGTTCATCCTTTATCTCAGAGATAGTTAGGGTTGACTTAGCTGGCCCCATTCCATTTTTCTTTTTGAGGAATAAAACTTTCCCAGATAGAATTTGTTTTTTTTTTTATTCCTAACTATAGGGTAGTTGCCCTAGAACTCTTATCTGGATACAGTTTAATGATAGTTATATACAGATTTATGCTTAGGATGTATTCACAGGGGTCGAGCACTTCTGTCCCCCAACTCATAGCTGCCTCACTGTTCGTTGCCGCCACTGCTTATACATTATTGAGACTGTCAGCTTTTTCTTATTCATCCTACTTAGTGCCTTTTGGCCACTACAACTCGCCTGGAATGGCCTTTCATGGACACCTTGACACCTGGAGAGTTTACTCAGTTTGTTTTTAAATCCCCAGTAGAAAGTAGAAGTTTTCTTTCAGCTGGTATTTGTGTGACAGTTACTGCTGACTTTAAGTTAAAAGTAAAAATATGCTCATTCCAACTATAAAATTACATATATGTCTTGATTAATAGGGACCAGAGAAGTGCCGCCTATGAGAGCACAGGACCTTGCTGTCCATTCTTATTCTAGCTAGAATATTAGATAGTGAGGGACAGTGTCAGCCTTAAAAACATCTTTGTTAAGTAGACCCAGTTATTTCACTTTTGTTAATACCTCCCAATTATGTTGCCTAGCGTATAACAAATTATATGCACAAAGATATTCTAAGTGGCATTAGTTGTAATAGCCCAAATTGTAAACCACTTAAAAGTTTAAGTCAGCAAACTTTTTCTGTAAATGGCCAGAAGGGAAATATTTTAGGCTTTGCAAACCATAGTCTCTCTTAAAACTTCTCAAATGTGCTATTTCTAGTACAAAAATAACCATAGCCAATATATAAATAAGTGGGTATGACTCTGTTCCAATAAAACTTTATTTACAAATGCAGAGCCATAGTTTGCCAACCCCTGGTATAGGGAAATAGTCAATAAACAGATGCAGATAGCCAATATATCCAATAAATGGTACATTATATACTCATAAAAATTAGTAATGAGTATAATGAAAAACATGAGAAAATATATAATTAATAAAGCAAGATATGAAAGTGTATGAATGGGTAGGATCATGGATGTAAATAATACACCAAGCATCTAATACAAGGGTGACAAATTACTAGCTGTACTTATAATAGGGTGGCAGAGTGATAAATGGATGACTGTGTCTTCTGGTTTTTTTGTATCACTTTTATAATAACTGTTTTAAAATAAAGTACTTTGAGATCTTAAAAAAAAAAAAAAAAAGATTTGCTTTCCTATATCTCTCCATAAGGTAAAGAGCCAAGAGTTTATTGGAGTTAAACTGAACCTCTGCATTGCAGATATTAAATGAGTTCTTTTCACAGGCAGCAGACGTTCACTCTTTGACAGCAGAGGAGAGGAACCAAGTTATACGTGACCTTAAAGCAGCAGGATGGTCAGAATTAAATGAGAGAGATGCCATCTACAAAGAGTTCTCCTTCAAAAACTTTAATCAGGTAATTACTACATGTTCTTGCTAGTGCCCTGGTCTCTTTGTGTCACCTTGGGCTGCGCCTTTTTTAAATACTACTGGTTGTTGGGTCCCATGTGGATCCAGGGTCCAAATCCTCTCTTCCTTAAGAATTCAGTGGCAGATGCTGTGTCCTTGTTGACAGGTGCTACCACCTAACTGCGGGATTCTCAGATGTTTGGGATGGGAGTTGTTTTGTCATTTGGAAAATCAGGTTCTGAAACCAGTGATTTGGTGTTGGTTAGGATATGTGGTTTCCTTTCAAATTCTAAATCACATTAAAAGGTCATGTGAGGGGCACCTGGGTGGCTCAGTTGGTTAAGTGTCCGACTTTGGCCCAGGTCATGATCTCACAGTTCGTGGGTTCGAGCCCCACGTTGTGCTCTGTGCTGACAGCTCAGAGCCTGGAGCCTGCTTCAGATTCTGTGTCTCCCTCTCTCTCTGACCCTCCCCTGCTCTCTCTCTCTCTCTCTTCCTCAGAAATAAATTTAAAAAAGAATAAATAAATAAAAGATCGTGTGAGCAGCAGGCACCCGGTGGCTCGGTCGGTCAAGCGTCTGACTCTTGATTTTGGCTCAGGTCATGATCTCATGGTTTGTGAGTTCAAGCCCTGCCTCAGGCTCTGAGCTGACAGGGTGGAGCCTGCTTGGGATTCTCTGTCTCCCTCCCTCTCTGCCTGTCCCCTCTTTCAAAATAAATAAACTAATATATATATTTTATATATCTTATATGTATATATAAGATAGTGTGAATTTTTTATATTTATCAGAAGAGGACCAGAGTAAAAGCGATTGAGAAACATACACCTGTTTGACTGATTTCCCCTATTTTTCTTGGACGCTTGTCAAGTTTTCTTTCTCCCTGTATGTGTATTTCAGTCTAAATCAACCCCCGAGCTGCACCCTCTTCTCTGAATGGCCCATTTTCCCCCAGCTCAAGAGCCAGCCCTGGCAGCTTTTCTGAAAAGCTGACCCCCCCTTGGAGACTCAGCCTTAACAAGGTAACTGTTCCATTAGGGCCCCACCCTCTTTAGAGAGTCATCTCCCATGACTTACCCTGTAGCTCTCACTCCACTGCGTTTATATAGGGTCAGTGCTTTTGACTATTTCATGTTTGTTCAGTTAGTTTGGTAATCCTCTGGACAGATTTATTGTTTTTGTTTATATTAGGTGTCAGCATCTAGAAGGCAGAGACCATGTTTGCTTAAATAACTCTCTATTGTACCTGACACAGTTCGGGGGACAAACAGGCATTTGATAAATGCAGACATTGATTACAGTGTTTGCTGGTTTCTGGAAGGGTGTGTGAGGACTAGATTTCCACGAACGAAACCTCCGACATGTTTTCCTAGTAAATGCCGTTGGCTCCGCTGAGCTCTGTGCCCTGTTCTGCTCTCCATCCATCTGGCTGCCAGCCTTCTGCTTTGAGTCTTCAACTCCTGAGGAAACCTGGACCAAGCTGACTCCCTGTCCCTGCTGCCCCATGTGCTCGACAGCTCTTGTCAGGGGCTTAGCACTCTGTGGCTGGTGGCAGGGAATCCCCTTGGTACAGTAAGCTTGCGCATAAGCTCTAGGTAGCATTTTCCAGGCTTATTAAAATTCTTACATGTGTACAGCCTGACTTCTTTAAGCCTGGGCTAATTTATTGGGCTTGAACATGTGGCTTAAAGTACTTGAGTAGTGTTGCCTCAGGCTCTGCCCAAGAGTCAGTCGTCTGGCCCCCGTGCTTGGGGGTGACTTTCAGATATGGGAGGGAAGGGAAGCTGTGCATTGCGTCCTTGATTAATTGTAACATTATTCATTGGGACGTTGTATTAATTTGACATTTCCCCCCCCTTCCCTTTACTCAGCTTTTAGGAAAAAGAGGCACATGACAAGAAAATTAACCAATGTCAGGGAATGTATTCAGAGAACAAGAGATTATATCCTGGGGTCAGTTTTCTAGCCAGGTCTTTTAGGATTTCGGCATGTACAATGGCCTGTAATTGCATCTGATGTTATGACACTTGTCAGTGCCCACCAGCCCAGAGTCACCAGGAACACACCTTGGGCTCCGTCGAGCATGCTGGGCTTACTTCCTTGTTGCAGTGAGGGAGACTGCACACCCCAGTGGGCTGTGGAGCATCTCAGGAGGATGGTCTTGGAAAGATGATTTGGTCTGATTAGATGCTGTGAGAAAATGGGCAGTTCTGTGCTTCAGTATTTGAATACATCTTACCAGTAGGGAGAGTGAGGCGAAAGTGGGGCCAAAGCCGAGATCTGGAGAGAAGTCATTCATTAGCTGGGAGAGGAGGGTGTGTGGTATTCTGTGGTGTCGTCAGTGTTCACGTTTCGTCTGTGTTCACATAACCTTGCAGTGTGGTCTTGTTTTTGTTTGGATCCATCACAGTTATAGAGTGGCCTTGTCTGGCATTGATGTTTGTGTTTAACCCCAAGGCCTTGGTGTGAGTGCCAGGCCTGCTCTCAGACATCAGGAGTCGCCCTTTCTCTTTTTCACAACCGATGTTTAGAGTGGTGACCCTCTCGCACTGATAGAACCTCACTTACCTTTTATTTAGGACAGAAAAGATACTGGTTTTTAATTATAAAACATTAATGTAAAACACTAAAATCAGATGTTGTAAATTAAAAAAAAATTCCCGTTACAACTCCTTTCATCTAGGTTTTCTTCTTTTCTAGTCTTTCTCCACCGATAGTTTGCCCACAATGTAGCACTTGCTCATACAGTTAAAAACTTTAACGGCAGCTTAATTTTTATTGTAAAGATAATATTGATTAACTCAACAAATATTTATTAAACATCTTCTCTGTGCCAGGCACAATTCTAAGCCCACGTAGCTCCCATTCTAGTGGAGAAGATACCTACAAATGAGTAGATAATATCATTTCAAGTAGAGCTAAGTGCCGTGAAGAAGTGTAAAGTAGGATACTGGAATGCAGGCTGATGGGGAGCGCACAGACTGTTTAAGATGGAGTGGTCTGGAGGGCCCTCTCTAGGGGGACATCTGAGGCCTGAATCACGCGAAGGAGCTCACCCAAAGGAACAGCTTTCCTGAAGGAGAGAAAAGCGAGTACAAAATTCCTAAAGCAGGCACGGTCTTGGCCTGACTGCGGAAGTGCCAGAAGGCTAGTATTCTGGAGTAAGCAGAAAGGAGAGACTGGTAGGAGACGTGGCTGAGGAGAGGGAGTGGCCAGAGCACTGGAACCTTGCCCGTATGGTGAGGAGTTCAGATTTTAGTCTATGTAGGAAAGCTATTGGGATTTCAAGCAGAGAAGTGCCACGATTTGGTTATATTCTAAGAAGATTGCCCTGGCTGTTGTGCTGTGAGTAGACAGTAGGAGGGCCTGAGTGGAAACAGGCAGACCACTAGGGACACCACTGTGGTAGGCTGGGTAAGTGGTGATGGGGGGTTGTGGAGGTACCAGTGGAGTGGAGAGAATGTAGGATTCCTCATCCATTTTGAAGAGAGAACAATCAAGACTTGCTGTTAGATTGGCTATGGGGGAAGGGAAGAGGCAAGCATGGTCTCTAGGTTCTGGTGCAAGATGTAGGGTGAAGGGCGTCATTTACTGACCTGAGGATGATGGGTGGGAGTCAGGGTAGGGAGTTAAGAACCCTGTTTTAGACATGGCAGGTATGAGATACTTCTTAGCCCCCCAGGTTGCGTTATCGGGTCAGCAGTTGGGTATGTGAGATTGGAGCTCAGGATGGAGATGCTGGTTTGAGAACTGTCAGCAGCGGTAATGATGAGAGCACGGACCTGGGTGGCAAGAGAGCACAAGAGGCACAGGGCACCTGGTGTGTCCATTGTCCTCAGAAAGAAGGCAGGATGTGTGCATATAGACATAGGCCGCTTGCTACATTTGTGCTGGGAGGTAAAGGTAGAACCATCTCTTCTGATAGCTTCTGTTTTTTCAGTGAGGTTATCAATTGGGATTGAGTGGGAGTGGGAGGAGTGTTGGAAATCTGGGAAGATGAGAAAAAGAGTGGAGTAGCCATCTTGGAGGTGA